GACAACATGTCAGTTCATGCTGCAAGAGCTCTGATACGTTAGAGGATGTCCTCCGGAAGTTGTCGTAATTACTGTGTAACTCTATGGAAGGGGGACGAGAACCATGAGCCTCCTAGGTTTTGTATTGAAGTCAATGTACCCAGAGGAGGACGGAAGCTAGCTGTCCTCCGGCTACAACAAGGTGCTACCCTACAGAGTGCTGCTGAGGCTACTGTAGACCTTCATTGCAAAATAGTGTGTTTCAATCAATTATTTGGTGACGCGATTATATTTAGTATCGTTTTATCTAAAAAGGAGAACTTTTCAGTAAAAAAAAATAAATGAAAGTCACTGAGGAGGATGGTCCTCCCCTTCCTCCCCTGAGGAGCCTCCACTGATGTAATGTTATGTTTCCTCTGGATATAATGTTATGTTTCCTCTGGATGTAATGTTATGTTTCCTCTGGATATAATGTTATGTTTCCTCTGGATGTAATGTAATGTTTCCTATGGATGTAATGTAATGTTTCCTCTGGATGTAATGTTATGTTTCCTCTGGATGTAATGTTATGTTTCCTCTGGATGTAATGTTATGTTTCCTCTGGATATAATGTTATGTTTCCTCTGGATGTAATGTAATGTTTCCTCTGGATATAATGTTATGTTTCCTCTGGATGTAATGTTATGTTTCCTCTGGATGTAATGTTATGTTTCCTCTGGATGTAATGTAATGTTTCCTCTGGATGTAATGTTATGTTTCCTCTGGATGTAATGTTATGTTTCCTCTGGATGTAATGTTTATGTTTCCCTCTGGATGTAATGTTATGTTTCCTCTGGATGTAATGTTATGTGTCCCTGGATGTAATGTTATGTGTCCTCTGGATGTAATGTTATGTTCCTCTGGATGTAATGTTATGTTCCTCTGGATTAATGTTTATGTTTCCCTCTGGATGTAATGTTATGTTTCCTCTGGATGTAATGTTTATGTTTCCTCTGGATGTAATGTTATGTTTCCTCTGGATGTAATGTTAATGTTTCCTCCTCTGGATGTAATGTTATGTTTCCTCTGGATGTAATGTTATGTTTTCCTCTGGATGTAATGTTATGTTTCCTCTGGATGTAATGTTATGTTTTCCTCTGGATGTAATGTTATGTTTCCTCTGGATGTAATGTTAGTGTTTCCCTCTGGATGTAATGTAATGTTTCCTCTGGATGTAATGTATGTTTCCTCTGGATGTAATGTTATGTTTCCTCTGGATGTAATGTTATGTTTCCTCTGGATGTAATGTTATGTTGTCCTCTGGATGTAATGTTATGTGTCCTCTGGATGTTAATGTTATGTGTCCTCTGGATGTAACTGTTATGTTTCCTCTGGATGTAATGTAATGTGTCCTCTGGATGTAATGTTATGTTTCCTCTGGATGTAATGTTATGTTTCCTCTGGATGTAATGTTAATGTTTCTCCTCTGGATGTAATGTTATGTTTCCTCTGGATGTAATGTTATGTTTCCTCTGGATGTAATGTTATGTTGTCCTCTGGATGTAATGTAATGTGTCCTCTGGATGTAATGTTATGTTTCCTCTGGATGTAATGTTTATGTTTCCTCTGGATGTAATGTTATGTTTCCTCTGGATGTAATGTTATGTGTCCTCTGGATGTAATGTTTGTTCCTCTGGATGTAATGTTAATGTTTCCTCTGGATGTAATGTAATGTTTCCTCTGGATGTAATGTTATGTTTCCTCTGGATGTAATGTAATGTTTCCTCTGGATGTAATGTTATGTTTCCTCTGGATGTAATGTTATGTTTCCTCTGGCTGTAATGTAATGTTTCCTCTGGATGTAATGTTATGTTTCCTCTGGATGTAATGTTATGTTTCCTCTGGATGTAATGTTATGTTTCCTCTGGATGTAATGTTATGTTTCCTCTGGATGTAATGTTATGTTTCCTCTGGATGTAATGTAATGTTTCCTCTGGATGTAATATGAGTATCTTTCCAATGTTAGCGGGGCTGTTCCTGCAGTGGCCCCAGTCTGACACAGGGCCCAGTGAAGCCTAGTTCCTGAACATGTCGTAACCAAATGTAGTTGCAGGTGGTGGCAGGGCCCAGTGAAGCCTAGTTCCTGAACATATCGTAACCAAATGTAGTTGCAGGTGGTGGCAGGGCCCCGTGAAGCCTAGTTCCTGAACATGTCGTAACCAAATGTAGTTTGCAGGTGGTGGCAGGGCCCAGTGAAAGCCTAGTTTCCTGAACATGTCGTAACCAAATGTAGTTGCAGGTGGTGGCAGGGCCCAGTGAAGCCTAGTTCCTGAACATGTCGTAACCAAATGTAGTTGCAGGTGGTGGCAGGGCCCAGTGAAGCCTAGTTCCTGAACATGTCGTAACCAAATGTAGTTGCAGGTGGTGGCAGGGCTCAGTGAAGCCTAGTTCCTGAACATGTCGTAACCAAATGTAGCTGGAGGTTGGTGAGACCTGCTGCTGTCTCTCTGAAGATTGAGGAGTCTGAACACGTGGCTCTTCTCTTTCAGCCATTCAAGGAGAACAGACTTGACCCAGGGTCCTGATCTAAAGTAGTGCACTATATAGGGAATAGGGTGCCATTCTCTGGTCTAAAGTAGTGCACTATATAGGGAATAGGGTGCCATTCTCTGGTCTAAAGTAGTGCACTATATAGGGAATAGGGTGCCATTTGGGATGCAGCTGGTGACTCACGGTACGGGGGGGGGGGGGGGGGGGGGGGAGGTTGGTGAGACCTGCTGCTGTCTCTCTGAAGATTGAGGAGTCTGAACACGTGGCTCTTCTCTTTCAGCCATTCAAGGAGAACAGACTGACCGAGAGGGAAAGACATCTCCATCCCCACTTCCACCTGGAAGAGACCCGTTGGGTGTTCCACAAAGCAGGATTATTAAAGGAAAGGTTCATCCATTTTTAATGTTATATTGTTTTTGTGCATCTCTGAGTGATATTCTATCGATTCCCTGGGTCATTTCGTATTTAACACTGTAAATTAAAGGAATTAGTGGTTTTGGGTGGATTTTATTCAGCTAACTTCGATAAACAGTCAGGTATATCTCTTGGTTTTCTGGTTGTCTAAGAAAGATAAACTTGTATATTGGATGTTGTTTTCGAGTCAATTATACCTTGCCAATTTTAAGTCTTAATTTCTAAAAGATATTACGATATTTCAAGCAATTTTGGACAATTACATAGCTGGCTAACCTAGTAATCCTCAGAGAAACTGGAGGAAAGTAACTCCACTGTACAGTGTCATCTGGCATTATCTGTCAGGGACTGGGATTGACACATGATCATCCAATCAGGAACCAGAGGGACAAGAAGCACCCGTCCCCAGAGAGAGAGGAGCAGGAAGCAGGTTAGTGTGTCGTCTCTGTGTCGGTGCAGAAGAACATCAGAACACCCTCTGACTGATTCACGCTCTTTTTAATCACACAACAAACCAATCAGAACAGGGCAAAAATAACTAGTGATGACGACTGAGGCTTCCAGCACATATTCAACTGCTTTTAGACTGCTTCTCCAAATGGCAGCCTTTTTCCTTCATAGTGCACTACTTTTGACCAGGGTCCAAAGGGCTTTGATCTAAGTAGTGCACTACAGTATGTAGGGAATAGACTGCCGTTTGGAACGCCGACAGAGGCTTCCAGAACCCCAGGACAGGACGGCTTCCGTTTCAGTCTGTCCTTGACTAGACTGCTAGACACAATTATCAGGTTTTCCAGAAATCCTGGTTCGAGGATTTTGGATTCCTTCTGATTCCAGGAATCTTCCAAACAGGATTTCTGGAAAACTTGGGAATTTTGGGGAAAGTTACCAGAATTTTGCAACCCCTTCCTTTACTCCGGAACTGGGTTATGTGCTATGGGAAAGGGTTATTAAGTTGAGTCACTGATCACCACGTCCGCCCCAACCGCTGTCTCTCATCACTAGTTTCAATATAGTATCAATATTAAACATGATAACAAATATGGCTGACTCACAAATATGAGCTGTGCTTTTTAAAGAAGCACTCTGTTCTGTTTGTCCCATGTGGGGAGTGGTTCCCTGTGAAGGTAGGCTGACACATGGGACATGGGAAGAGTGAATAGTCTTACTAAGATCCATCCACATCATCTGTCTTCCCCAGTGGCACCCTATTCCCTATATAGTGCACTACTTTTGACCAGAACTCTTTGGGCCCTATACCATATAGGAAATAGGGTGCTATTTAGGACAAAACAAATCTTCTTCCTTTCACCCTGTAAATGATGTCATGACAACATAAATGTGCTTTACCAGATGTCTTAAACATTACTATACATTACTATACAGTACCAAATGGTTTAGTAAAAGGTTACTTAGCATGCTATAGACATTCTCCTCTGATGTAGTTATGAACTATAACTTAGTGTGGCTGGTAACACAGTGATTGAACTCAGACTTAACTGAAGTAAAAACGTTTTAAAAAAAAAAGAGGTGAGTGGTTGAATGAGGAGAACGTTGGTTGAAGGAGTTTAAAGCTCTGTCTCAAATGGCACCCTGTTCCCTATATAGTGCACTACTGTTGACCAGAGTCCTATGGGCCCTGGTCAAAAGTAGTGCACTACATGGGGAATAGGGTGCCATTTGAGACGTAAGCTAATTCTCTGTTCTGATGTTGTGCTGCTGTGTCTGTCAGGACAGTTGGTATTGGAGGAGGAGGAGTCTTCAGAATGTTCACGTTAATATATTACATGTTCTGAATGTTCTGGAGCCGTTAGAACCCGGTTGGTCCGTTCTGACAGAGAGTTCAGCTGATCTGAACGTTCCATAGAAAACAACTCCCCTTTCTGTCCTCTGGACACCTTTTAAAACACCTTCAACACCCAGCCCTGCACTGAAGCTTACATATACTGTAGGATAAGTAGAGTTGAACGTGTCTGTGTGTGTCTGTGTGTGTCTGTGTCTGTGTCTGTATATCTGGAGGGGTAGAATCTCAGGGTCATAAAGGGAATGGGGATTCCGGAATTCCTTCCGGCACATTAGTACCCTCTCTTCCTTTCCAGGGGCACCACGAGATCACCAAAATAGATGAGGTGGTTCCACTGTGAGATCACCAAAAGTAGTTTGTGAAGGGGGGAGTAAGGAGGGGAGAAGAGTGGTTTGTGAAGGGGGGAGCAAGGAGGAGAGAAGAGTAGTTTGTGAAGGGGGGAGCAAGGAGGGGAGAAGAGTGGTTTGTGAAGGGGGGAGTAAGGAGGGGAGAAGAGTGGTTTGTGAAGGGGGGAGCAAGGAGGAGAGAAGAGTAGTTTGTGAAGGGGGGAGTAAGGAGGAGAGAAAATCCATTCCTCTTCCTTTACACATTTACATCTCTCTCTCCCTCCACCCCCAGGTCAGTCGGACTGTAGTGGGGGTCTTGGAGGGGAAAGGGGCCAAACCTTTTAGGACTCCAGGGAGGGGCCCCCAGAGTGGGGGCCCCAAAGGAAAAGGGGGGGGGTTTTACCCCTGGGGAGGGGGCCCCGTTTTCCCCTACCCCCCAAATTTAGCTATTCATTGGGGGACAAAAAAAGGTAAATTTTTTAATTGGGGAGAAGGAAAATGTTTGAACAAAAAAACATTTTTGGAAAGGGGGAAACGGGTTTCCTTTGAATGGAAAAGAAAAAAAATTGGGGTTTAAGTTATTTTGTTTTGCTTTCCAGTTTCCCTCGGGATTTGGGGAAAAATTTCCCTTTTAGTTGAAAAAGGGGGGCAGCTTCATTTTGGGGATTGGGGTAAGAGGGAAAAAGGGCAAGGGAAGGGAAAAGGGGGGGGGTTTAGGTTGGAAAAGAGGAGGGCAAGAGGGGAAAAGGGGGAGAGAGAGAAGATTATTTTGGGAAAGGGGGGGAAAGGAAAAGCCCCAGTTTAATTTAGGAAGGGGGGGGGTTTAGAAAAGGGAAAAAGGAGGATATTTAGTTTGGAGTAAGTAAAGGGAGAAAGATTAACGAAGGGAAGGGGCTGCCCGGGGGCCGGGAAAGGGGAAAACCCATTTGGAAGGTGAAAGGGGGGACAAAATTTGTTGGATTAGGTAAGAAGAATAAGGTTTTTTGGGGGGTTGGTAAAGAGGGAATTTAGGGGTAAAAGAAGGGATAATTGTTTAGGTTTCCGGGGGAAAGGGGAGGAGTTAAAAGGAAAGGAAAAAAAGGGGGCCATTTTTGGAAGGGGGGGAAAGACGACCATTTAGGAAGGGAAAGAGAGCCCTTTTTAAAAAACCATGAAAGAAAAAATTAGGGGGGGTGAAGGAAAAAACCTTGTTTTGGTTTAGGGGAAGGGGGAAAAGGAATTTTTTAGGACTGGGGAAGGGAGGAAACCTCAACCGGGAAGAAAACGGGGTCAAAAGGGAGAAAGGAAGAGGGGCCCCTTCAATTGGAGAGGGGGGTTTAGCCCCAAGAGCCCTTTTAAGAGAGAGAAGACCTTCATTTTGGGGACTTTCCAGGTAAAGGGGAAAGTAGACCTTCAGTTTAGGACTTCCGGGAAAAACACGTTCTTGGACTACAGGTGAAAGAGAACTACTCTCAGTTTAGGACTTCCAGTAAAGAGGAAGAAATTTGAACTTCCTGGTGGAGATGAGATAGAGTTCATTTGGCTTAAGGGAGAAGAGATGTCTCATTTGGGTATATCAGGGAAATGGGCTAGACTTCTGGAATCCTTCCGGACATAGGACCACTCTCTTTACTTCCAGGGGCACCACGAGATCCCCAAAATAGTAGGTGTCCACTGTGAGATCACCAATAAGTTGGTGAAGGGGGAGTAGTAAGGCAGGGGAGAAGAGCTGCTTTTTGTGAAGAGGGGAGTAAGGAGGAGAAAGTGGTTGTGTGAAGGGGGGATCAAGGAGGAGCAGAAGTGTGGTTTGGTGACAGGGGGGGTAGTGAGGAGAGAAGAGCTCAGTTTGTGAAGGGGAGCAAGGAGGAGAGAAATCCATTCCTCTTCCTGGTACAACATGTACATCTCTTCTCTCCTTCCCCCAGGTCAGGGACTGTAGTTGGGTCCTATGGGGCCCCAGACCAGGCCCAAACCAGGGTCTACTGTAGATTAGCGTCAGGTGAAGGCACCAGTGGAAGGGTAAGCCCAGGGCAACAGGTGGAGTGGAGGGGCTCCATGGTCTCCAGCCCTGGGGGGTGGAAGGAGTCCAGTCCTTCATTATCACCTCCATAAGGTCTATCGTTCTCATTAACTCAGGGGGAGACACAACCATCGTTAGTTAAAAGCAGTTGAACACTTATTTAATTCATCTGGGGAGAAGGAAAGGGAATTGTTTGAACAAAAAGAACATAGACTCTTGCAGTTGTACGGACTCCGGTGTTTCCTGCTTGTAATGGCAGAATGAGGATAGACCTATTGAGTTTTAAGTTTGACTGTCTGCTTCCTGTGTTACTATCCAGTAGCTTTAGATCCGTAAAGGCATCTGAGCAACTTCTGTTTTGGAGTTGTAAAGAAAGGGCATGCTTCAGTTTAGGACTTCCAGGTGAAGAAGATGAAGGAAAGACTAGACCTTCAGTTGGACTTCCAGGTGAAGAGAGAGACTAGCCCTTCAGTTTAGGACTTCCAGGTGAAGAGAGAGACTAGACCTTCAGTTTAGGACTTCCAGGTGAAGAGAGAGACTAGCCCTTCAGTTAGGACTTCCAGGTGAAGAGAGAGACTAGACCTTCAGTTTAGGACTTCCAGGTGAAGAGAGAGACTAGACTTCAGTTTGGGACTTCCAGGTGAAGAGAGAGACTAGACCTTCAGTTTAGGACTTCCAGGTGAAGAGAGAGACTAGACCTTCAGTTTAGGACTTCCAGGTGAAGAGAGAGACTAGCCCTTCAGTTTAGGACTTCCAGGTGAAGAGAGAGACTAGACCTTCAGTTTAGGACTTCCAGGTGAAGAGAGACTAGCCCTTCAGTTTTAGGACTTCCAGGTGAAGAGAGAGACTAGCCTTCAGTTGGACTTCCAGGTGTGAGAGAGAGACTAGACCCTTCAGTTAGGACTTCCAGGTGAGAGAGAGACTAGCCCTTCAGATTTCAAGTGAAGAGAAGACTAGCCCTTTCAGATTAGGACTACAGTGAAGAAGAGACTAACTTCGTTTTAGGACTTCCAGGGAATCGAGAGCCACTAGCCCTTCACCGTTTAGACTTCCATGGTGAAGAGAGACACTAGGTCTCAATTTGGGACTTCCAGGTGAAGAGAGAGACTAGCTCTTCAGTTTGGGACTTCCAGGTGAAGAGAGAGACTAGCTCTTCAGTTTGGGACTTCCAGGTTGGGAGAGAGAGACTAGACCTTCATTTAGGGACTTCCAGGTGAAGAGAGAGACTGCCCTTCAGATTAGGGACTTCCAGGTGAAGAGAGAGACTAGCCCTTCAGATTTAGGACGTCCTTGTGGTGGTGGTGGTGAGAGAGAGAATAGCCCTTCAGATTGGGACTTCCAGGTGACGAGAGAGACTAGCCCTTCAGTTTGGGACTTCCAGGTGAAGAGAGAGACTAGCCCTTCAGTTTAGGACTTCCAGGTGAAGATAGAGACTAGCCCTTCAGATTGGTACTTCCAGGTGCCTTGTGGTGGTGGTGGTGAGAGAGAGAATAGCCCTTCAGATTGGGACTTCCAGGTGACGAGAGAGACTAGCCCTTCAGTTTGGGACTTCCAGGTGAAGAGAGAGACTAGCCCTTCAATTTAGGACTTCCAGGTGAAGAGAGAGACTAGCCCTTCAGTTTAGGACTTCAGTTTAGGACTTCCAGGTGAAGAGAGAGACTAGCCCTTCAGTTTAGGACTTCCAGGTGCTGTGTGCTGGTAGAGAGAGAGAGAGGCATTTAGGGTGCTCATGGAGACTGGATGTACTTTATTATACACTGCTCAAGAAAATAAAGTGAACACTAAAATAACACATCCTAGATCTGAATGAATGAAATAATCGTTAAATACTTTTTCTTTACAAGTTGAATGTGCTGACAACAAAATCACACAAAATTATCAATGGAAATCAAATTTATCAACCCATGGAGGTCTGGATTTGGAGTCACCCTCAAAATTAAAGTGGAAAACCACACTACAGGCTGATCCATCTTTGATGTAATGTCCTTAAAACAAGTCAAAATTAGGCTCAGTAGTGTGTGTGGCCTCCACGTGCCTGTATGACCTCCCTACAACGCCTGGGCATGCTCCTGATGAGGTGGCGGATGGTCTCCTGAGGGATCTCCTCCCAGACCTGGACTAAAGCATCCGCCAACTCCTGGACAGTCTGTGGTGCAACGTGGCGTTGGTGGATGGAGCGAGACATGATGTCCCAGATGTGCTCAATTGGATTCAGGTCTGGGGAACGGGCGGGCCAGTCCATAGCATCAATGCCTTCCTCTTGCAGGAACTGCTGACACACTCCAGCCACATGAGGTCTAGCATTGTCTTGCATTAGGAGGAACCCAGGGCCAACCGCACCAGCATATGGTCTCACAAGGGGTCTGAGGATCTCATCTCGGTACCTAATGGCAATCAGGCTACCTCTGGCGAGCACATGGAGGTCTGGGCGGCCCCCCAAAGAAATGCCACCCCACACCATGACTGACCCACCGCCAAACCGGTCATGCTGGAGGATGTTGCAGGCAGCAGAACGTTCTCCACGGCGTCTCCAGACTCTGTCACGTCTGTCACATGTGCTCAGTGTGAACCTGCTTTCATCTGTGAAGAGCACAGGGCGCCAGTGGCAAATTTGCCAATCTTGGTGTTCTCTGGCAAATGCCAAACGTCCTGTACGGTGTTGGGCTGTAAGCACAACCCCCACCTGTGGACGTCGGGCCCTCATACCACCCTCATGGAGTCTGTTTCTGACCGTTTGAGCAGACACATGCACATTTGTGGCCTGCTGGAGGTCATTTTGCAGGGCTCTGGCAGTGCTCCTCCTGCTCCTCCTTGCACAAAGGCGGAGGTAGCAGTCCTGCTGCTGGGTTGTTGCCCTCCTACGGCCTCCTCCACGTCTCCTGATGTACTGGCCTGTCTCCTGGGAGCGCCTCCTTGCTCTGGACACTACGCTGACAGACACAGCAAACCTTCTTGCCACAGCTCGCATTGATGTGCCATCCTGTATGAGCTGCACTACCTGAGCCACTTGTGTGGGTTGTAGACTCCGTCTCATGCTACCACTAGAGTGAAAGCACCGCCAGCATTCAAAAGTGACCAAAACATCAGCCAGGAAGCATAGGAACTGAGGTCACCACCTGCAAAACCTGTCCTTTATTGGGGGTGTCTTGCTAATTGCCTATAATTTCCACCTGTTGTCTATTCCATTTGCACAACAGCATGGGAAATGTATTGTCAATCAGTGTTGCTTCCTAAGTGGACAGTTTGATTTCACAGAAGTGTGATTGACTTGGAGTTACATTGTGTTGTTTAAGTGTTCCCTTTATTTTTTGGAGCAGTGTATATACTCTGTATTTATTTAAACTTTATTCAACCAGGGGAAAACCCTTTAGGTGACAAACCTCTTTTTTCGAGTGGGACCTGGCAAAACCTCAACTACAAACAACTGAAGGACCAAACAGCGCTGGAGCTGTCCGGCCCAGATGGTCAACACTGCCGGTCAGAGGTCAGAAGCCGGAGAAGGTACGCTGCCTGCCAGTACACAGACAACTCCTTTCTGCTTACTCTTAAGGACACGTCTTCAGGCCTAGGACCCTTGACCGAGAGCATAGGCTTTTTAGTAGTCTGACGAACTAGTTTCGCAGCACAGCTGATAAACGTAGGACAGCTGATGCGACAAAACTTAAATAGCCTACGGACATTGTTGCATTTGCTTTGTCTCGGGGGTCCTAGACTGAATGAATGTGTGCATTTATGTGAGAAATCAAAGTTTTGAGGACCGTGTTGGATGCACATGTGGCCAGGAGACAGCAACTTACCGAGTTTAGGGCCAGCTCTGTCTTGTCTTGACCTCTTGGTCGGCTCATGGTGACGAAAGATAAATATGTACAAAAAGAAAAAATACCAAAGGCATGTACAAACTAAAGACACCAAACCAAACAAAAGGCCTCAAGGCCACCAAACCAACCAGCAGCCTTACGGCTTGCCAGCTGGGACACTGACTGACCATCACCTTAGGAATCTGTTGATACACCCAGCTGGGACACTGACTGACCGTCACCTTAGGGGTCTGTTGATACACCCAGCTGGGACACTGACTGACCGTCACCTTAGGAGTCTGTTGATACACCCAGCTGGGACACTGACTGACCATCACCTTAGGAGTCTGTTGATACACCCAGCTGGGACACTGACTGACCGTCACCTTAGGAGTCTGTTGATACACCCAGCTGGGACACTGACTGACAGTCACCTTAGGAGTCTGTTGATACACCCAGCTGGGACACTGACTGACCATCACCTTAGGAGTCTGTTGATACACCCAGCTGGGACACTGACTGACCGTCACCTTAGGAGTCTGTTGATACACCCAGCTGGGACACTGACTGACCATCACCTTAGGAGTCTGTTGATACACCCAGCTGGGACACTGACTGACCATCACCTTAGGAGTCTGTTGATACACCCAGCTGGGACACTGACTGACCATCACCTTAGGAGTCTGTTGATACACCCAGCTGGGACACTGACTGACCATCACCTTAGGAGTCTGTTGATACACCCAGCTGGGACACTGACTGACCGTCACCTTAGGAGTCTGTTGATACACCCAGCTGGGACACTGACTGACCATCACCTTAGGAGTCTGTTGATACACCCAGCTGGGACACTGACTGACCATCACCTTAGGAGTCTGTTGATACACCCAGCTGGGACACTGACTGACCATCACCTTAGGAGTCTGTTGATACACCCAGCTGGGACACTGACTGACCGTCACCTTAGGAGTCTGTTGATACACCCAGCTGGGACACTGACTGACCATCACCTTAGGAGTCTGTTGATACACCCAGCTGGGACACTGACTGACCGTCACCTTAGGAGTCTGTTGATACACCCAGCTGGGACACTGACTGACCGTCACCTTAGGAGTCTGTTGATACACCCAGCTGGGACACTGACTGACCATCACCTTAGGAGTCTGTTGATACACCCAGCTGGGACACTGACTGACCATCACCTTAGGAGTCTGTTGATACACCCAGCTGGGACACTGACTGACCATCACCTTAGGAGTCTGTTGATACACCCAGCTGGGACACTGACTGACCGTCACCTTAGGAGTCTGTTGATACACCCAGCTGGGACACTGACTGACCGTCACCTTAGGAGTCTGTTGATACACCCAGCTGGGACACTGACTGACCTGTTTGAATCTGAGAGTAAATAGAGCTTCCTATATTGATAAAAGTCACCTTGTCCGAGAGAGATTTCCACGGTTATCAAATCGTCACGCCAGGGTAAGCCTACACGAAACACAGCCCTTATTTTAAGTGTTTCTAAATTGGAAAAATGAATGGTGGAAAAAACGATTGGAACTGTTTGACCGCTAGGTTTTATGGGTATTATGACTCGTACTGTGGTACTCTATTATCGTGGCTGTTAGAGGTTTTAGAGCTGCGTCCCAAATGGCACCCTATTCCCTATATAGTGCACTACTTTAGACCAGAGAATGGCACCCTATTCCCTATATAGTGCACTACTTTAGACCAGAGAATGGAACCCTATTCCCTATATAGTGCACTACTTTAGACCAGAGAATGGCACCCTATTCCCTATATAGTGCACTACTTTAGACCAGAGAATGGCACCCTATTCCCTATATAGTGCACTACTTTAGATCAGAGAATGGCACCCTATTCCCTATATAGTGCACTACTTTAGACCAGAGAATGGCACCCTATTCCCTATATAGTGCACTACTTTAGACCAGAGAATGGCACCCTATTCCCTATATAGTGCACTACTTTAGACCAGAGAATGGTACCCTATTCCCTATATAGTGCACTACTTTAGACCAGAGAATGGCACCCTATTCCCTATATAGTGCACTACTTTAGACCAGAGAATGGCACCCTATTCCCTATATAGTGCACTACTTTAGACCAGAGAATGGTACCCTATTCCCTATATAGTGCACTACTTTAGACCAGAGAATGACACCCTATTCCCTATATAGTGCACTACTTTAGACCAGAGAATGGCACCCTATTCCCTATATAGTGCACTACTTTAGACCAGAGAATGGTACCCTATTCCCTATATAGTGCACTACTTTAGACCAGAGAATGGCACCCTATTCCCTATATAGTGCACTACTTTAGACCAGAGAATGGCACCCTATTCCCTATATAGTGCACTACTTTAGACCAGAGAATGGCACCCTATTCCCTATATAGTGCACTACTTTAGACCAGAGAATGGCACCCTATTCCCTATATAGTGCACTACTTTAGACCAGAGAATGGCACCCTATTCCCTATATAGTGCACTACTTTAGACCAGAGAATGGCACCCTATTCCCTATATAGTGCACTACTTTAGACCAGAGAATGGCACCCTATTCCCTATATAGTGCACTACTTTAGACCAGAGAATGACACCCTATTCCCTATATAGTGCACTACTTTAGACCAGAGAATGGCACCCTATTCCCTATACAGTGGACTTCTATTGACCAGAGCCCTGTAGGGGTAGTGTGGGATGCAGGGTAGATATTCTGCCTCGCTCTGTTTCTCTCCTCTCCTCTCCTCCACCTCACTCTCCATCTCTCCTCTCCTCCCTCGCTGCATCTCTTTCACCGCTCCACCTCACCTGAGTGGGTATCTGTGCTCTCAGGACATTCTGTTTTGTTTCCATGGTGATGCCAGGGACCGTGGTTGCCAGGCGCTGGATGTGGTTGTTGAGGGTAGCGAGAGCAGGGCTGGGCATGTCTGGTTGGTTGGATGCTCCAGAGGAGGACTGCTTGTCAGTCCCGTTCCCAAACGCCAGCACGGCTTTCTCTGTTCAGGGTAGTAAAGAGGACAGTAAAGTGCTGTGTGACCTTTGGTCTCCACAACTTGTTATTGGATTCTTTACATTGCAGAACCAATTTTATTTTTGTAAACTTAAGTTTACAGTTTTAATTTCGAGAAAAATAAGATTAATGACATGGACAAAATTATAGACACCCCCGGAGCTATACTAGATGCGTACTCCTTTGGCCAAGATAACTGAAGACAAACGCTTCTTGTAGCCGTCAATGAGCTGAACCTTTCTGCTGGCAATTTGACCCACTTTTCAGCAGCAAACTGCTCTAATTCTTCAATGTTTGAGGAGTGCCCTCCACCAACTGCTGTTTTCAGCTCTCGCCATAGGTTATGGATGGGATTCAGATCTGGACTCTTTCGCTGGCCACTCCAGAACAGTCCGGCATCTTTGCTTAAACCATTCCTGGGTGCTTTTTATGGCTGTTTGGGGTCGTTGTCCTGCTGGAAGACCCCCAACCTTCAATGGAGACCCAGTTTTTGGACACTGGGTTGAACATTGGACTCCATAACTCTTGACAATCTGCTGATTTCACATTCAAGGCCCCCAGTACCAGCAGAGGTGTAAAGTACTTAAGTATAAAATACTTTAAAGTACTACTTAAGTCGATTTTTTTGGTATCTGTACTTTACTTTATATTTCTGACAACTTCTACTTTTACTTCACTACATTCCTAAAGGAAATAATGTACGTTTTACTCCATCCATTTTCCCTGACACCCAAAAGTACTCGTTACATTTTGAATGCTTAGCAGGATAGGAAAATGGTCCAATTCACACACTTGTCAACAGAACATCCCTGGTAATCCCTACTGCCTCTGATCTGGGGGACTCACTAAACACACATGCTTCGTTTGTAAATTATGTCTGAAAGTTGGAGTGTGCCCCTGGCTTTCCGTACATTTTTAAAACAAGAAAATTGTGCCGTCTGGTTTGCTTAATATAAGGAATTTGAAATAATTTATACTTTTGATACTTATGTATATCTTAGCAATTACATTTACTTTTGATACTTAAGTATATTTTAAACCAAATCCTTTTAGACTTTTACTCAAGTAATATTTTACTGGGTGACTTTTACTTGAGTCATTTTCTATAAGGTATCTTTACTTTTACTCAAGGATGACAGTTGGGTGCTTTTTTCACCACTGAGTACCAGACGAAGCAAAACAACCCCACAGCATTATCAAACCTCTCCCATCTTTGATTGGATCTTCCTGCAGGACTGTTCTGGAGTGGCCAACGAGGAGTTCAGATCTGAATCACATTGACGGCTACAAGAAGCGTTTGTCTGCAGTTACCAAAGGCTGTGCAACCAATTACCAGCTATCATTTTTTACATGTCATTTGTCTTTATTTTCTAAATAGAAATTGTAAACTTATGTTTACAAAAATAAAATTGGTTCTGCAATGTTCAAAATCCACAACAGGGTGTGGAGACCAAACATTTTTTTCAATTGCAAATTTTTTTGGGAAGAAATATGGAATAATTTAAGAAAAGTGCAAAGGTGTCTGTATATTTGGCCTTAACTGTATCTAAGAGACTTTTCGGGCCTCAGTTCCTCAAATTCCCCTGTAGGTCAAAGCCCTTAGATCCCAAACTGGATGAAAATGAACAACTGTCAAATTTTATCACGTAATAATAATAATAAGGCCAAAGCCTTCCTAATTGTCCTTTTATCCTCTATACTTGATTTCATCTGTATGTTTTTGTTTATGCATACCTGTAATATAGATGACGCCTGTAACATGTTTGACTATGATTGTTTTTAGTGTTGCAACTCAATTTGAGTGGTCCACAATTTAAATGTGTATTTTTTTATTATTTTTTTACTCTAACACCTCAGCTACCATCCCCACAGCTACCATCCCCTCAGCTACCACCCCCTCAGCTACCATCCCCTCAGCTACCATCCCCTCAGCTACCATCCCCTCAGCTATAGACCCACAGCTACCATCCCCTCAGCTACCATCCCCTCAGCTACCATCCCCTCAGCTACCATCCCCTCAGCTACCATCCCCTCAGCTACCATCCCCTCAGCTATAGACCCACAGCTACCATCCCCTCAGTTATAGACCCACAGCTACCATCCCCACAGCTACCATCCCCACAGCTACCATCCCCTCAGCTACCATCCCCACAGCTATAGACCCACAGCTACCATCCCCACAGCTACCATCCCCACAGCTACCATCCCCTCAGCTACCATCCCCACAGCTACCATCCCCTCAGCTACCATCCCCTCAGCTATAGACCCCACCAGCTACCATCCCCTCAGCTACCATCCCCTCAGCTACCATCCCCTCAGCTACCATCCCCACAGCTACCATCCCCACAGCTATAGACCCACAGCTACCATCCCCTCAGCTACCATCCCCACAGCTATAGACCCACAGCTACCATCCCCTCAGCTACCATCCCCTCAGCTATAGACCCTCAGCTACCATCCCCTCAGCTACCATCCCCTCAGCTACCATCCCCTCAGCTACCATCCCCTCAGCTACCATCCCCTCAGCTACCATCCCCTCAGCTATAGACCCACAGCTACCATCCCCTCAGCTATAGACCCACAGCTACCATCCCCACAGCTACCATCCCCACAGCTAACCATCCCCTCAGCTACCATCCCCACAGCTACTAGACCCACACTACCATCCCCTCAGCTACCATCCCCACAGCTACCATCCCCTCAGCTACCATCCCCACAGCTATAGACCCACAGCCCATCCCCACAGCTACCATCCCCACATCCACCCCACAGCACCTCCCTCAGTACCATCCCCTACCCCTCACCCTCAGCTACCATCCCCACAGCTACCTCCCCCACTACCATCCCCTCACTCACCACATCCCCTCAGCTACCATCCCCTCAGCTACACCCTCAGCTACCCCACCCGCTATCACCCACAGCTACCATCCCCTCAGCTACCATCCCCTCAGCTACCATCCCCTCAGCTACCATCCCCTCAGCTACCATCCCCTCCCGCTCCATCCCCTCAGTACCATCCCCTCAGCTACCACCATCCCTCAGCTACCATCCCTCAGCTACCCTCCCCCCAGCACCATCCCCTCAGCTACCCCGTCCCTCAGCTACATCCCCACAGCTACCATCCCCACAAGGCTACCATCCCCATCAGCTACCATTCCCATCAGATTACCATCCCCCTCAGTCTATACCTGAGCTACCATTCCCCTCAGCTACCATCCCCCTCAGCTACCATCCCCTCAGCTACCATCCCCTCAGCTACCATCCCCTCAGCTACCATCCCCACAGCTCCAGGGCTCTGAGGGCTGTAGTAGAATGGTTCTGGTTAACAGAATGCTTCAGGCTCTCTTCATCCATCCCCTCAGCTATAGGCTCCAGGAAATCTTTCGGCTGTACAACACATCCCATTCAAGTTCTCCAAGACAGACAATCAGGACTGGGGTTGCAAAGGGAAAAGAAACCCTTTCAAAGTTTACCAGTAAACTACCAGAATTTTGGTAAAATCATAATGACCAAAATTACAGAAGATTCCGGTAACTTTGGTAAATTCCTGGTAGCTTTAGCAACCCTGTCAGGGACTGTATAGACTGTGTGAGTCAACCCAGAAACCCCCAAATTCAACTCTATCTGTCTTGACATTTTCACTGACACATCTAGACTTAAAACCAGGAGAACCCGAGTGAGGTGAGTTAGTTATTAAAACATATTATTATATTATATTATATGTTTAGAACCATGATGAGGATGCAGGAGCTGGGTGACAGATGTTTTTAAACCTGAATGAACAGCTTTAGTTTTTCAGCGTTTTCTCTCCCTGACTGCCGACGGCTGCGTTTAACCAGTGTGTTATTTTCTGCCTGTGTCCCAAATGGCACCCTATTCCATACATAGTGCGCTACTTCTGACCAGAGCCCTATGAGCCGGAGCGCACTATAAAGGGGACATTGGGATGCATCCTTCTATCTCTGTCCAGCTCATTACCTCTGCAGTAGGAAACACAATTAACTGAATTACAAAGCCATCAAAGGCCAACGATGTCAAAGTAAAATCTAATTTCAATCTTTAACCCGACAAAGCGCACGATCCTCATAACAAGAAATATATATACCCACACCTCCCTCTTCCCTTCGGCCCGTTTCTTCCCAGACCCCTCCACTTATTCCTGTCGTCTTTGTATGTCCATATTGCTATATAGTAGGAAAAAGAGAAACGACGTGCAGAGGAGAAGAGAGGGAGAGAGGAGAAGAGAAGAGATGGAGAGAGGAGAGAGCAGAAAAGAGGGAAGAGAGAGAGAGACAGAGAGAGAGAACGAGAAGCAGAGAAAGAAGAGAGAGAGAGGAAAGAGGAAGGAGTCGGAGGGAGGGGAGAGAGAGGGAGAGAATGAGAGAGATCTCTCTTCTATCATAACGATCTATCTCTCTCTATACTCTACTAACGCTATCCTCTATATATTCTCTCTATAAACGATAATATCCCTATTATACTATATAACGCTCTCTCTACTATCTTAACGATCTATCGTATATCTATATCTATCTCAGCTAGCTATCTTTATCAGCTATGGCTATATAACCCTTCTCTCTCAATTACATTTCCATTTCAATTAAGGGATTATTGGCAGGGAAACATTGTTCCTTGCCAAAGAAGGGAAGGGAAATAGATATTAACAAAGTGAAAAAGCAATAAATATTAACCGTAAACAGTACATCACAGCAGTTCCAAAATAATAGAAGACATGTCATAATGTATATTATGTCTCTTATATATATAGTGTTGCTAACAATGTGCAAATAGTTAAAGTACAAATGGGAAACTAAATAGTAAACATAAATATGGGTTTCTGATTTACAATGGTGTTTGTTCTCTATAAGGAGCTGTAGTGATGATGGAGTTGATCTCTATAAGGAGCTGTAGTGATGATGGAGTTGATCTCTATAAGGAGCTGTAGTGATGATGGAGTTGATCTCTATAAGGAGCTGTAGTGATGAGGCGTTGACCACAAGGAAGCTGTTAGTGATGAGGGAGTGAGTTGATCTATAAGGAGCGTGGTAGATGATGAGGAGTTGATCTATATAAGGAGCTGTATTGTGGTAGTGATGATGATAAGTATGATTCTTAAGGAGCGTAGGATGAGATGGATGTTGATCTCTATAAGGAGCTGTTTTTGTTGTAGGTGCGTGATGGAGTTGATTATCTCTATAAGGAAGCTTGTATGATGATGGAGTGATTCTCTATAGGGACTCTCTCGTATATCTTCTCGTTCATTCTATCTGTGAATTGAAATAATAGTAGATTTTGGGGGCATATGTCCTCCACTAGACAACACTGGTTAGTGTATTTTTTTTTTTGTGTGTTGAAATTTTAGTCATTTTAGAAGATGCTTTTATCCAGAGCGACCTTACAGTTAGGAGTCCATAAATGTTTGTAGAAGAATAACAGGAAAACACTCCCCTTGATGTGGAGGCCGCCGATTAGCTCGCCCGGTCCCACTTTCGTGGGGGACACTCAGTCTGGCCGCCCACATAGACATAAAAAAAAAAACATGAACGAATTAGACACTATAGACAGGATCTGACCACAAAACTGCAGAAGATAAAGGGCGACTAATAAGGCATTGATTTGAATTCAAACAGGCCATAAAACCCAAAGAGGGGCTAGCTTGACTATGTCACCATGGTACTCCTAGTCCATATTTCGCACGCAATTCCGGCTAATACTAATCTTACAATATGCAGGGCGCGTACCAAGTCTGAGAAGAAAGAGGAAAGAGGACATTAAAACTACCATTGATATAAATTATAAAATATGATAATAAATTATTTAAAAATTGCATAAATAAACTATTAATTAACATATGATATAAAATATTAAAATATGATCCTAAACATAATAAAATAATAAAGAAGAGTAAAATGAGGAGAAGAATAAGAGTGAAAAGAATGATCCAAAGAAAGAGGAAACCAGGAGAAGAAACGAGTGAAAAAGGAAAGGAAGGCAGAATAAAATAGGGAAAAGATGAGAAGTAAATATTAAAATATGAAATTAAAATCTGCTCCTCCCACTTGACCCTACCATTCTTCCCATTGTCCTACCCTCTTCCTATTCCCCTCTGCCCTCCCCTCATCCCCTTTACCATCTGCTCCTCCACCGCTTCCCCTCTGATACTAAAATGCTTACAATATGATCATAACAGATTAAAATACTCGCTCCGTCACATACACTCCCAATATTCCCCTAAAATTACCACCATCCACCCTCTTCCCCTCGTCCCTATGATCCTACCACTCTTCCCCTCGGCCTCCCCCTTCCCCTCTGATCCGCCCCTCTCTCCTCGTCCTCCCCTCTTCACCCTCTGCTCCTTCCCCTCTTCACCTTGCGCAGAGGTTATGTTATTTTGGACAGTCGTACTACAAGCTGAAGGCGGGTTGGTAGGCAGTGTTAGTGTTACTACGGTTACTACAGTGTTCCTACAATAGTGCTACAACAACTTCAGTGTGTGTTGACTGCCCCTGTCACTCACTCAGGCAGACGTTATCATGGAAATATTCCAGGAAGTCGTCACACTGTTCCCGGTGGTTCCCGGAGGCCGAGCAGGAGCACCACGGACCCACGTTAGACGTTGAGTTATCAGGTAGTTAGGCGTTATAGTACTGCCTGGGAGGGGGGAGGGGGGAGAGGGGGAGAAGAGAGAGAGACGAGACGAGAGAGAGAGAAGAGAGAATGGAGTCAGAGAGAGAGGGAGATGGGGGAGAGAGGAGAGAGGCGAGAGAGAGGGGGGGGGGGTGGAGATACGTTAGAGAGAGAAATCTTTAATGGTACAAGAGGACAACCATGTGAAGTTCCACTTTATCAGACATCTCTTGGTTGGAGAGAAACGTCAGGTAGAGCGCCCTGTGAGAGAGGGAGGGAGAGAAGGGGAGGGGCCCGGAGGGTAGAGAGAGGGAGGAGAGAAGGGGAGTCGTAGGAGGAGAGCGGGAGGGAGAGAAGGGGAGGGAGAGAGAGAGGGGGGGAGCGAAGGGGAGGGAGAGAGAGAAGCAGGAGGGAGAGACGGAGGGAGAGAGAGAAGGGGAGGGAGAGAGAGGGAGGTAGAGAGAAGGGGAGGTAGAGACGGAGAGGGAGGGTGGGGTTTAGAGAGAGAGAGGGCAGGGAGAGAGGGGAGGGAGAAGAGAGGAAGGGGAGGGAGGAGAGAGACCGAGAGGAGAGGGAGAGAGGTGGGAGGGTGGAGGGGAGGGGGAGATGATAGAGGGAGAGGGACGGGAGGGAGGGGAGAGACGGGGGAAGGGAGATGAAGTAGAGAGAGAGAGACAGAGAGAGAGAGAGAGAGAGAGAGGGAGAGGCGGGGAGGGAGGTAGAAGAGCAGGAGAGAGGAGATGTGAGACGAGACGAGACGGAGGTAGAGAGAGGGAGGAGATGAGACGAGACATCTATTTATGCTGACTATTCAATTCAAGTAGAAAATACTTCATTTCACACAGTCGAATGGGGAATCATAATGGTACAAGACGGCAACCTGTCAAGTTCCACGTTTTCAGAATAGCTTGTCGATTGGAGTAGTTTGCTCCCCAGACAAATATTAATTTCACATTGTACATACTACTAACAGTCTTAATAAATACAAATGTTGTTTCGAAATAACAATTCCCAGAGCATATTGTTACAGAGTACGAAATGTGGATCTTAATGATAAAGAGACAAACCTGGTGAGTTTCAGGACTAAACCGTTGGAGAAGGACGGGTAAAGGTAGAACACACTGGAGTGTATTTTGAGGTTCACTGGGATCGAGTTGCACCCCAAATACCACCCTATTCCCATTGGGTTGTTGTTGTCATTCAAGTTGTAATCAAAGTTGTGGTGTGTTCTCTCTGGCTGTTGAATGGGGGAATGATTGACGCTAGCCTTTGTGTTCGATAGCCTGTAGATAGTAAACTGAAGGCTTCTTAAAAATTGCTGCAATAAAAAAAGGTTGTAAAAATACTCGGTCCCAACAACAGCATGCATCTCACAGTCAACTGATAGGTGAGATGTCTGGAATGGACAATCACTAGGGCACCACTTCTTTCATATGATCCTCTCTCTCTCTTCTCTTCTCTCTGTCTTTCTCCTCGCTCTCTCTCTCTCTCTCTTGTCTTTCTCTATCTATTTCCGGTCTGTCTTTATCTATCATCTAAGTCTGTCTTTCTATCTCTCTTTATGTCTTTCTCTCTCTATTTTGTCTTTCCTCCTCTTTATGTTTTTCTCTCTCTTTCTGATTCTCTATCTCTTTCTGTCCTTTCCTATTCTATCTGTAATTCTCTATTTTTCTCTGTCGTTCTCTCTATAGCTCTTTATTTCTTCTCTCTCCCTATGGCTTCCACTCAATTTAATTCAATTCAATTCAACTTCATCAATCAATTCAATTTCAAGTAAGGGCTTTATTGTCATGAAAACGTTTATGTTACGGTGACAAAGAAAGTGCAGTAGATACGTAAAACACAAGTGAATAAATCAATAAATATACAGTAAAACATTACACTCCGAGAGTTTCTAAAAGAATTTAAAGACATTCTAAAATGTAATTATGTCTAGATACAGTGTTTTGTAACAATGTGCACAAATAGTTAAAGGACAATATGGGACAAATAAACATAAACAGAAATAGGGTTGCGTGGTTACAATGGTGTTGTCCTCACTCGGTTGACCTTTTCGCTGTGGCAAATACAGGTTCACAAATCTTGCAGCTGTGATGCACACTGGGAGTTTTTCACCCACGTAGACAAGGGAGTTTATCAAAAAAATTGGGTTTGTTTTCGACTTCTTTGTGGATAGCTGGTCATCTGAGGGAAATATGTGTCTCTATATATGGTCATACCACTCTGGAAGGAGGTTAGTGAATGCAGCTCAGTTCCATCTCCTTTGTGGGCAGTGTGCACTGGCCTGTTTTCCCTGAGAGCCAGGTCTGCCTCGGCTGTGCTTACACTTTCTCAATAGCAAGGCTATCGCTCACGAGTCTTGTTATGTACATAGGTCAAAGCTTTTTTCATTAAGTTGGGGCAGTCACAGTGGGTCAGCTATTCTGACACTGTGTAACTCTGTCTTAGGCAAAAATAGCATTCTAGTTTGCTCTTGTTTTTTAAAAGTAATTCTCTTTTGTTTTCTCATGATTTGGTTGGGTGAATGTGTTGTTGTTGTGTTGTCTGGGGATGTTGGGTCTGCTTGTGTTTGTGAACAGAGCCCCAGGACCAAGCTACATTAGGGGTCTTTCCTCCTCTCTCTCGCTTTTATGCCTTTCTCTCTCCTCACTGTTAGAAAACCCCCCCAGGGGGGGGGGAGGGGGGGGAGAGAAGGAAAAGGGGTAAAGGGGGGGGGGGCGGGGGGGGGGCAAAGGGGGGGGGGGGGGGGGGCGGGGGGGGCGGGGGGTGGGGGGGGGTGGGAGGAGGGGAAAAGGGGTGAGGGGGTGAAGAGAAGGAGAGGGGGGGTTTGAGACGAGACGAGAGGGATGAAGAGGGGGGAGATGAAGAATCTTTTTATGCTGACTATTAAATTCAAGTAAAAATCTTCTTTTACACTTTCGAAGGGGGAAATCATAGGGTACAAGACGGAACCTTTTGATTTCCAGTTTTCAAAATGTTTGGCGAGGGGGTATGCTCCCAGCCCAAAATATTAATTTAATTTACATATACAACATTTTTAATAAAAAATTTTGTTTCGAAATAACAATTCCCAGAGCAATTGTTAAAGGACGAATGGGGGGGGTTTTTAAGAACAAATGACAACCTGTTGATTTTTTCAGACAAAAAACTTTGGAAAGGAGGGGGAAAGATGGGTAAAAACCACTTATTGTTTGGAGGTTTCACTGGTTGATTTGGAGTTGACCCAAATACCACCCTTTTCCCCTTTGGGTTGTTTTTTTGTCATTAATTTTGTAATAAAAGTTGTGGTGGTTCTCTCTGGCTGTTGAATGGGGGAATGATGACGAAACCCTTTGTGTTCGATAGCCTTTAGTAGAAACTGAAGTTTCTTAAAATGCTGCACTTTAAGGTGCTAAAATACTTTTGGTCCCAAAAACGAAACATCTAAGTCAATGCAGGGGAATGTTGGAATGGACAACACTAGGGCACCCTTTTTTTTCTTTTCCCTCTCTCTCTCTCTCTTTTTTCTTTTTCTTCTTTTTTTCTTTTCTCCTCTTTCTCTTTCTTTTTTCTTCTTTTGTTCTTTTCTTTCTTTTCTGTCTGCTTTCTCTCTCTCCTTCTGTCTTTTTTTTTTTTCTGTCTTTTTCTCTCTCTTTCGTTTTTTCTCTTTTCTTCTTTTTCTCTTTTTTGGGGCTTTTCTTCTCTTTGTTTTCTCCTCTTTTTTTTTTTTCTCTCCCTTCTTTCTTTCCTCTTTTTTCTCGTCTTTCTCTCTCTTCTTTCTTCTTCTTTCTCTTCTTTCTGGGGCTTTTTTCATAAAAAAATTTAATTCCAAAACAAAAGTAAAATTTAAAAAAAGTAAAAAAAAACAATAAAATTTTAAAGAAACAAAGAAATTTTAAAAAAAATAAAACATTTAAAGTTTTTAATTTAATCAAAAGTTAAACAAGTAAATAGGGTTGTAAAAAAATGGGGAAAATTTAAAAAAACAAAAAAGGGGTTTTACAAGGGTTTGTTTTCAAAAGGTTTTTTTCTTTCAAAAAGGTCCCCTTTTTTGTGGAGCACACTTTTTTTCCCGTAGACAAGGGGTTTTTCCCCCAAAAAGGGGTTTTAAACTTTTTGGGGGGGTTTTAAAAAAATTTTTTTTTGGGGAATAGGGGTCTCTAAAAAATTTGGGCATAATTTTGGCAGGAGGTTTGGGGAAGTGCAGCTCAGTTTCCATCTCATTTTGTGGGCAGTGTGCACATAGCTGTCTTCTCTTGAGAGCCAGGTCTGCCTACGGCGGCCTTTCTCAATAGCAAGGCTATGCTCACTGAGTCTGTACATAGTCAAAGCTTTCCTTAAGTTTGGGTCAGTCACAGTGGTCAGCTATTCTGCCACTGTGTACTCTCTGTTTAGGGCCAAATAGCATTCTAGTTTGCTCTGTTTTTTTGTTTGTTCTTTACAATGTGTCAAGTAATTCTCTTTTTGTTTTCTCATGATTTGGTTGGGTCTAATTGTGTTGTTGTTGTTGTTGTCCTGGGGCTGTGTGGGGTCTGTTTGTGTTTGTGAACAGAGCCCCAGGACAAGCTTCCTTAGGGGTCTTTCTCTCTCTCTCTCTCTCTTTCTGTCTTTCTCTCTCTCTTTCTCTATCTATCTCTCTTTCTCTCTCTCATTTTGTTGGGTTACAGCCTGAATTTAAAATTAATTAAATTGAAAATGTTTGTCTCTGGGCCTACACACAATACCCCATAATGTGAAAGTGGAATATTATGCCGATGACTCAAGTTTTGTTTTAAGATCCCTGCAATGTCTCATTGAAGATCTAGATAACTGTTGTGGCCTCTCTGGACAAAAACTTAATTATGATAAGTGGAACATATTAGATCTTTAAGAAAACACAGCTTTTCCATGACCATGCAGTTTACCTATACAATGGGCTGACGGTGAAGTCCTTAGTCATATCTCAGTTTAGCAAAAAAAAAAGGTCAGTTTGAATGACACTGAGGGGCAACGCTGTTACATCTAATGCCTGTTTGCCTGAGGCTGACGCACACTCTCATTAAA